AAATCAGGGTATACATCTGAAAAACATAAATTATATATATAGAGAACCAAATAATCTATATGTTGCATTATATGCAATTGCATTTACCATATATCTCCCCTCAGCCAACAGACCATGAGGTGTTTCGTCTCATACCACCTTCCAACATTTCTGTGATTTTATATTTATAGAATATATTGTAAAAACAATATTTTGTGTGTTTGTTTATAGATCTCTCCTTATCTATATCTAAACATATGTATATATTAAAAGCCGGGAATACTTTTTTTTCACTGCAACAAATGCTATATTCAGACACACAACCCACTAGCAAACGGATTTGCTAGTAGGTTGTGTGTCTGGGTACAGCATTTGCTGCAGTGAAAAAAACGGATTTGCTAGTAGAATAAATTCACGCGCTTCTACTCTTGTTCGGAAGGCGCGGTTCAGGCTCCAATTCCGCGCATGCTCAGCTCAAAAGCAACTCCGCCCTGAGCTCCCCGCGGCTTCGTACCCGACAAAGCGCAGGCGCGGCCTCCCAGCACCATCGAAACCCGCGATTCTCGTTCGTTCGCACTGCGCATGTCTGCTCGGCTGCCCCGTCGCAGTCCGCCCCTCTTCTCCTCCCTCCGAAGTCCTGCCCCCTTTCCGCCCCTCCCTCCTCGAGCCGAGGACCCCGCCGGCCCGCGGCATCTCCTCGGCAGGGCTGTCTACTCCAGCGCCTGCGTGGGCCGCGAGACTTCCCGCGCCCATCCCCGCTCTCTCTGCATCCCTCCTCCTGCATTTTGCCGCCAAGTGTCTCCTCGGCGCTCGCTTGCTCGCCGCCGGCCCGTCTCCGTAAGCGTCCCCGGGGCCGCTCCAACTTAGGCGCCCGCCTCGGGCAGCCCGTCTGTCGTTGCGCGCCCGAGTCGCGGAGGGGGTCCTTGCGCGCAGGCGGGCGGCGAGCGCGAGGTGTCTCCTTCACTTCGCCCTCCAGCGCGGCCTTCACGCGGGTAGAAGAGGGAGGGGCGGCGGAGGCGCGCGCGGGTCTCTCTGGGTCTCGGAAAGAAGCACGTCCCTTTCCCCCCCGACTGGGCAGGTAAGGGCCGTGGCGGGGTTACCATGACAACGCGGGGTGGGGGGTTCCTTTTGCCCGGGGGTGATGGCGCGGGAGAGGAAAGGAGTTGAAAAGGAAGCAACTCTCCCCGCTCTCGTTTCCCCGCAGTAACAGCCCGGCGAGGTTGGCTCGGCCTCAAATCCCTCCTGCGGGGCTTAATAGGGAATTTATTCTGTTCGGGGTGTTTCTCCACGCGCTCTTTTCGTCAAGGTTTTCCGTGGGTGGGTGGGGGGATCCCGAGTGGGGTGTTTCCCCCCTCGTCCCCCTTTTCCCTTCCTCCTCCCTTTCCCCCTTGTGAGGTATCTGGCGCAGGGCCTCCTCTCCCCAGTTTCCTGTTGGGGCTTTCCTCTTCGCTTGCTTTTTCAATCAATCCAATCAATCAATCAATCAATCAATCAATCAATCATTTTGTTTGTATACCGCCCTTCCGAAGTTTAAACTATCCTCAAGGCGGCTTACAACGTATATAAGAAAAGCACATAACTACAAACATAAAAGCAATTGTAAATAATAAACAAAAACAAGCATATCGAACAATTTCCACAAAATTCCAAAATAAAGATACGGACAACATGTCACTTGCTTTATTGTTTGGGGGTCAAGTACCCTTGGCGTCTAGTTAAGTTGAGCATCAAGGTGGCTCCCTCTCCCTTTCCTCTGCAGTCTCTGGATGGTTCACCCTTGCAATTTTTTGGCTTGGCTCCCGTTTGCAAACTGTCCCCTTTGCAAAAAAAGGAGCTGGCATTCTCCTATACTCCCCTTTTTGATCCTAGTTTTCGGGTTCAGGTCTGCTTCTTCCTTTATTTGTAGCTTTGTGACGTTTGCAAAGAGGAGAGGAGGATGTGCTTTTCTGGTGGGCTGTACTTAGGCTGGCGATGCAGGGAAGGGGTCAGGACTTGCTCCCTAAGATGGCCGCAAGGAAGAATTCACATTGCAGTAGCAGGGAAAAAGTTATTTTATCTTCTCTCTCTCCACCACCACCACCACTCCTCCTTTATCCCCAATAGCTGCCACACCCAAAGTCGTCTCCTTTATGTGGGACAGAGGCAGCCTCCATGAGTAAAGGGACACTTCCGTTCAGAAGGGAAACTGCAGAAATTTTCTGTTATCTTTGTGTGCAGCATCCCTCCCCAAAGTCGTGACATGAGAGTTATCTGAATACCACGAGAGTTCTTAATTCTAAAATCTGTGTAATTTATTTTTAATGTAATTTTCCATTTTATAGATTCTCTAAATTGGACTAGATAGCTATGTCTTTTAATCCAGCATGTCAGCGTCCAAGACGTAAGTAGGGAGATGAAGTAAGGATGTTGAAGTAACCTAACTAACAGATTTATAAGTTACAGTAAGAGTGAGCTTTGACGATGAGACTAATACCTAACCATATAATCCACAGTCAGAAAAAGTCAAAATAAGTATTTGAAATCTAGGGGGCTAAGCTGCTTAAATATGTGTTTAAATGAAATATTTCTACTGTCTGTTATGGGTGTGTCTGCCTGGACTGCTTAATATGTTAATATGTTGGGAGTTGCAGATATTTGCAAAGCCTTGGGGATGTGCTTTGTGATAAGGGTGTGGGAGGTGTTTGAAATAATAACTTGAGGGAAAGGTGCAGCATAATTATGTAATCTTCATAACTTGTGGTTTAATCATCATACATTGGGCTGCTCTTAGCAAGGGTTTTGCAAATATTTTCTCTCCTTGATCGTCTGTCCCTAGGGCTCAGTACATAACTGGAATTAGGAAGTGCAATTACTTGCTAAAATTCATTATTAAGAAGTTGTTACATGGTTGGCAACTTATTCTGAATGGTATTGACTTGGAATTCCCCCCCCCCATTGGTTTCAATGGGACTTAAACACTTAACTGTTCAAATTGGCAGGCCTTGTGCTTTTTCTTTGCAAATTATGTTCTGATAAAATTGCCAACATTTTTTGAAATTGGGAGAAAGTGATATTTAGAATGCCTATTAAAACTTTGCCTCGTGCTCTACCGACTGAGCTACCGAGAAGTGCCCCATTGAGAGTGCAGGGTAGTGGACCTTGCCTATCCCCCAAAGTGAGTTGCTTCAGCTACCACCAGCTGAATTGGCAGCTGAGGAGAGGTGAAGAAATTGGGGGTTCAATTGCTGATCCTACTGGATAGGAAAGGAGAAGTTGGCTTTCATTGAGCCCATGCTATCCCAGTTGACAAAACTAGATAGTACAAACCCATACAACTGCATTTCTCTAATATGCAAGTGAAACATAATTACTATTGCATTCTTGTCATATTTTTATACCCAGCACAGCAGAGAGATGGAAACACAGGGCTTTGTTGTAGGATAAACATTTCTTTATACATTAGTACATGCCTCAAATGTGCACTAATACATTTTGATGTTTGGTTCAAACCACTCATTGAATTCTAACTTTCTCCCAAAATGAAAGATGCAGAAATCTGAAACCGAAGCTCTTCACAACATTATATCTGCCTGTCAATATTTTGAACATATTAATAACAAATGCTGTTAACCAAGTTTTAACAAGTATTTTGTTCAGTGATATGCAAGTTAAATGTGGCGTCTGATTCATGGTACACGTTTTGCCGATTGGAAAGTTGGCGGTTCGAATCCGTGCATTGTGGCAAGCTGCTGTTGCTCTGTCCCAGCTTCTGCCAACCTAGCAGTTCTAAAGCACACTAATGTGAGTAAATAGGTACCGCTGTGGCGGGAAGGTAAACGGTGTTTCCGTGTGCTCTGACTTCCATCACAGTCCTCCATGCGCCAGTAGCGGTTTAGTCCTGCTGGCCACATGAGCCGGAAAGCTGTCTGTGGACAAACACCGGCTCCCTCAGCCTGAAGGGAGATGAGCACCGCAACCCCAGAGTCGCCTTTGACTGGACTTAACCGTTCAGGGGTCCTTTACCTTTTTTACACGTTGCATGCAGTTTGTATTATATGGGGTGTGCGTGTGTCTGTCCTCAATTGTCACAGGATTCTCCATATTCTGCATGAGCAAAGCTGTATTACAGATTTAAACAGATTTGTGGCAGAACAGTTTAATAAGTAAAGAGGATATTGGGTTTTACTTCCACTATGTGAATAGATTTGCAGCTGTTACTGAGTGGCTCCTGGCATTATTGGATGTGAACATCTGCTTTGTAGGACTTTCATGCATGGAATGGGGGAGGAGGCATTTTGTAAAATGCATCAACAATTGTCTGCATGTTATAATGTATTTTAAATATTGGTATATATTTGAAATATTCGCCCTTGCTGTTGTAAAAGTGCACCTGGATTCCCCCTAAAATCATCTAGAGGTACGTTAGTCTGTCATCTTAACTTTGCAATTCCTTTTAGTACAGTACTGCATTGGCAGACTAAATATATCACCTTTTGTCAAATTACTTAAAAAAAATATGATGCAGCAGTACTGGCTAACCACCTCATTATGAATTGTTATTTGACTTCACAGCAGACAGAACTAATTACTGCTTACGTTTTGTTCTTGCAGTACTAACACTCCCGTTATTTTGTCTTCCTAGCTCCAATGGCTATCCCGCCACCATATGCGGACCTTGGCAAGTCTGCCAGAGACGTCTTCAACAAAGGATTTGGTATGAAAACATTTGTAAAGAATATAGTATTGTTTGGAGGCGGACACAACATTTACTGCTGCTCTCAGCAAACCCAAACTATGCTACATAGTTGCTGCTTCCACCTTTCCCCCACTTTATTGAGCAAATTATTGCTTGAAGTGGAATGTTTATCACCAGAATGTTTGGCATGTCATTAGACATAACTGTAACTTGCTGCTGAATATTTTCACTGTTTAGTTTAGTTTCTCTTTGGACATATAAAGATTGGCACTGCCAAGTACAGTGGAGCCTACTGTATCGGGAGACTAGTAAAAGTATTAAATATACTTCTTAGGGAACACTTAGAAGGCAGCTCAGATCAAAAGTTTCTTACGATAGGCCTTAGCACTACGATTTTCAAACAGGAGTAGATGTCGCAAAGGTAATTTACTATGGTTATAGCAAAGTGAAAACTCACCCATCTACCCTGGGTGCTGTTTTTTTCCTGACAGGAGCAAGAGGTGGGAGTTGAATTAACAATATTCCCCCCTACTAGTTCTGGTAGCTGATTTCCAGCGAGGGAAACCTTAGTTTTCAAACTGTGGGATGGTTCTTCCTTGGGGAGAGCAAGGTGGGAGTTTATGAGGTTATTGGGAGAGATAAGGTCCTGAGGCAGTTAAAAATTTCACTCACCAGCAGCTGAGAACCTGATGGGTTGAATGCCTCTGAACAGAAAGCACTGATGGATGCATTTTTGGGTTTGTGGAAATAAACAATGTACTGGGAAAAGGGGGATTCTGAAAGAGCTGGTGCTTTTTTTCTTGTGTTAATTTGTGTATCGTTTTATAACGGTGTCAAAGATTCTGCTCTGTTTCTCTTCTAATGTCAGCGCAGAATTGCATGTTCACTGACATTAGAAGAAACACTTAAAACCACTTTGAGGCTGCTGGTTTTACTTTGTTTTGTTACAATCAAGCTGTATAGTAAGTTTTATTAACCAAATGAATGAATGAATGAACCACTTGAAACAGGGATTTCCCCAAAGAATCCTGGGTACTGTAGGATAATCCCAGTCTCCTCAAGGAGCTACAGTTCCCAGCGGGGCTTAACTATAGTCCCCTTCCCATAGAACTCTGTGAATACTAGCTCAGAAGAGGAATGGGGACTCCTACCAGCTCTTAGCACACTTAACAAATGCAGTCGGCGGCATTCGGGGGGGGGGGAGCCATAACTATTTAAAGTTCTATGATACAGCTTTAAATGTATAATGCAAGTAGGGCATACACCCCCCCCCCCGGGCGAAACAGCTTGCTAGGAGAGAGCCTTGCCGGGGGTTATGCAAGGAGAATTGATTTCTTGTTTCTGGGTTCTAAACTGAGCAATGACTGATTTCATGAAACTATTTACATATTCATATTCCATACTAACTACTGTGGGGTGCATCTAAGTAAATATCTCCCAGGTAAATATTGGGTTCTGCTCTGCTGAGCTTTGGTAAAGAGCAAAATGATTTCATTCCGCATTGCCAAAACTTCAAGGGGATCATGGAAGCCATAAATTGGTTTTTAGATTGCTCTGGTCCAGCAAAGCTCTGTTGAGTTTTCTTTGGTCCAACAGTGAATCTTTCAGAAGGGTGTGGGGTGAGATAGATGCAGTCCCTGGCTCCCTGAGGTAGGCAAAGATGCTTTAGAGTTGGTCAGGAACCCATCGAAAGCATCATGTCCTGGGCCTCCTCTGTAAAATGCTTTTGCTCCCACTAAAAGCTTGGTGTGAATTCTTTTGGGGGTGGGTCCTTGTTCCAATATTTCAGTTTTTAAAAGTATTTCCCCCATCTGTTCTGGGAACGAGCATGTGCAGTATATGCAAGAAATGAACTTTCTTCTTATTTTTTTTTTATTATTATTTTTTTATAAACTTTATTACAAGCACATAAACTTACACATACAAAGAAAAAAAGTTGTAGGAAAAACACGAAACAAGCAATAAAATAAAGCACATACACCTAGAAGAGAAAAAAAAAAAACAAAGAAGGAAATTCCAATCACACCCTTACACACATTTGACTTCCATTAACCTCAGCTTTGGGTTAAGTATTCTACATAAATCTTCTGCAGTAATTTTCATTTATCTTTACATGTCGTAGGAGAGAAATGAACTTTCTTCTTGATGTTGCTAGAGAAATTGATTAGATCCATGTAGATGGTCATTTCAGTTGTAGAATGCTTTACTATCGCTGTAGTTAAATAAAAGCAGTGCTTTAGTGAAAGAGCCCTTGCTTATTCATCAGAGATGTAGATGTCCTAAGATCAGAATTTTGTTACAGTTACAGCGATGCAACCAGGAAGAGAGCAGCGTCATGTTTTCTTATGACTCTGCCTGGAATTGTATTCAAGCTTGGCTATAGTGTTAACTGCTTGAAACACTGGCATGTTGTGTAAAAGGGCAGTAGTAATTCCAGTTTTGTCTGTCAAGGTTTTGGTCTGGTGAAATTGGATGTGAAAACGAAATCTGCAAGTGGCGTGGTAAGTGCATTTTGGTGTAATATTAAACAGTAGCTCATAACCTCTGAAATGTGGTGGGGAGGGCTCCAGACCCTTCTCAGCCTTCCCACAGACCCTTTCTCCCCTCCCCAGGCAGTAGCAGCAGTAGTAGCAGTAGTAGTAGTAGTAGTAGTAGTAGTAGTAGTAGTAATCTGCCCTTCATCACATGGTGCCAAGTTGACAAGAATATTAAAATCATTGGAAAACATCTTAACAAGCAAAAGGCCATGGGTTAAACTTGTCTCCATGAGGCATTATTATTATTTACCCTCCCTTCATCTTAAGGTCCCAGGGAAGGTCTCAGCAATTTAAAATGCAACCTTAAAAACAGTTCAAAACAAATTCAATTCCAAATTATTATGTTGCATGCTTTCCCCCCATAAGATTTCAAGCACATAGAAATGAAAGAGAAAGTGATTTTATTTCCTTTCCTCTTTCTCTTTTCTTTTAAGGGAATCTTTCTAGTCTAGTTGCAAACTAAGTTGACCTTGTTTAACATGCAGTGTTCTGATGTGACAGCTGAATGGGGAATCTGCCATGGACTCATATCTCTTCCTTCCCTTGCGAGCTCCTTGCCTCTCCCTTTTCTCATCTGTAATAATCATCGTTTGTTCTGAAGTCCAAGCTGGGCAAACTAATGCTAATCTCAAAGCTATAGTTTCAGATGGGTTTGCAAGCCACAATTTCAATATTAACAGTAATATCATAGATGCTCAATTTGGATCCCTGTAATGAAGGAGGGAGCATTTTTTCTGATCTTCCAAATCATGGTTTGTACGATTGCCTGAACTGAGAAATTACATTTCTTTTTGGTCATTGTGTGATTCCTTTTAAAGTACAGGTTAATAATACCTCAGGCCCCATAATTAAGTAGCTTGATCACCAGGGTCTTTCAGGCATAACGTGTTAAACAAGAATGACCAGGTTTGTGTACTTTGTTCTCGCCCTTCCTCTTCTCTGTATTCATAGTAAAATTTGGAATTTGTGGTGCTTTCTTCAAATTTTGCCTAAAGAAGTAACATATAGTTTGCTACAGACCAGTTTGTCATAAACGGACCAGGAGCTTCTGGTTGCTCTGAGTGTTGTTTGAGGTTTTTATAACACAAGTTGCAGTGACACTTTGAGCATAATCGCAATTGTAGCAGAGGTATACAGATTGTTCGATTTTTCAGAATTTCAGTAAGTCATGGTCAATGGCATTGAAACTCAAAGGTGATTCCGTCCAATTAGTTACGTCAGAAACTTTCAGAAAGCTGCAGGGTTTTTTGGTAAAACAAGTTCTTATTTTTATCTGTAAGCTGCCTCGAGTCCTGTCAAGAAAAAAGAAGGGATATTATAATAGTCATAGTAGTAATTGCTCCTCTCTGTATTCCCCTTCGCTTTGTTAAACCTTTTCTTCCCACCTGCATTGTCCTGCTAGGAGTTCGCAACAGCTGGTTCATCAAACACAGACACAGGAAAAGTGAATGGGAGCTTGGAGACAAAATACAAGTGGTCTGAGTATGGTGTCACTTTCACAGAAAAATGGAACACGGATAACACTCTGGGAACCGAAATGGCAATTGAAGATCAGGTAATTGAATTTTGATTTGCTGAAAAGTTAAGTGGAAGTCACTTTTTACATCTGCTAATTCATAACTTTCCCCCCCTCTCTAAACTAGCTTGCCAAAGGTTTGAAGTTGACATTTGACACAACTTTCTCACCAAACACCGGGTAAGTTCTTTCCCTCTTAAGTCTTGGCATGTTCCACATAGATTACACTGAAAGTGAGAGATGGGTTAATGAATGCTACTGAAGAAGACTTCAGTGGCTGGACACATACTGTGGTCTAAAAAAAACGAATATACAAAATGAATTCACACCACAGATAATACTTACTTTAATTTGTCTTAATTTTATAATACATCTCAGGCAGATACATGGTGCCTCATGCCCGTGGTTCAAGGAATAATTCTATAAAATCTCAGTGAATTCAAGCAGATGATCCCAAAAACATGTGACAGAGGAAAAGCAGCCAAACGTACAGTAATGGCTATTCATCTGACCTGGCAAAAGACACTTTTCTGTCTCCAAATGCCAGTTATAACCAGAGCAGACATTATGAAGCTGTTTTTTAGTTCTTGTTGGTGTCACAGAATCCAGACTTCTCTTCATAAAATGTAGTAGCAGATATTGTTATCAAATAGATAGTAGTGCGTGGGGAAAGCCTCCATTAACTTGTGTTTGAACTGCCTCGATTCCTAAATTCTGAATAAAACAACTTAAACTGCTGAATCAGTTTATCTACTCTGCAAGGAGTTATTGTCTTAGGCTTGGCTTCTGCCTGGTTCATGGGGAAGAATGATAGGCAAATATTTGTATACTTGAGTGGCATATAATAAACTTACTGATTTCCCTTTACCCCATGATATGCTTCTAGTTATGTCATTTGAGAAAATGTGGAACCACTTCACGCCAAGTGAGGCCATAGGTCCAGCTACCAGCAGCTCCCCATGATTTTCCTGCCCTACCTAGAGGTGCCAGGAATTTGATACTGAACAAGTTTCCTACTGTAGAGTTGAGTTACTAATTTCAAGTAAAGTCATTCTACAAACTCTCTTGCCCCTTAAACATACAGATCTCCTTCCTGTAACCATAGGTCGGCTCTGTGGCTCTTGATCTAGTAAATACTCACATTTTGGACTACGTGGACATCTTTAATTTATCTGCTTAAGATGAGAATCAGTATAACTTGTGCATTCCAGGGGAAGAGCGGGTTTTTTTCTTACATATTTCTTTTTCCAGGAAGAAAAGTGGCAAAATCAAATCTGCTTATAAGCGTGAATGTATAAACCTCGGTTGTGATGTTGACTTTGATTTTGCTGGACCTGCCATCCATGGTACAGTTGTCTTGGGTTATGAGGGCTGGCTTGCCGGCTACCAAATGACCTTTGATAGTGCCAAATCCAAGTTGACAAGGAATAACTTCTCTGTGGGATACAAGACTGGAGACTTCCAGTTGCACACCAATGTGTAAGTATCAGAAACTAACACAATTGCAGTTAATGAAGGTATCCAGAAATCTTGAAAACTAGGGGAAATAATTTCATTGTTGGAGCTGCAGTAGCACTGAATATGCCTACATTCTGAATAGATTTTTTGCTGGGTTATTAATTATCAAAATAAATTTTGAAGGTCTAGAATAGCAGAAGTACTTTTTAAGCATTGTTCTAAAGTATATTGGTTGTTTTAAAAAAAGTATTTTTAAAAAGTTCATGCATGCATTTTTTTTTAAAAAATGGGCTACCTTCCCAACTTAGGTTTCATGCTCCAGTGAGTAGTTTTATTTCACACAACTTCAACTGGATATGATCTAGTACAAATTGGTATGAGAACTTGCAGTTTCTCATTGATAAATACTGCATTAGCGTGTGTTGGAGTTTTCAACTTCCGATTTTAAAAAAATGAGGGGTGCTAAAAAAAAATTGTAACATGGCTTGTAAATTCAAAATATATTTTGGTTAAATTAATATGATTTAGTTTTGCTAGGTAAGTAAAATGTGCAAAATTACATAGAAATCATTAAAAATCATTGCCAAGTACTTGCAGTTATGTTATATATTAATAGTGTTTAGTTAATTGAATATTGTTATTATTATTAAATTATGTTTCGCCCCAAAAACTGCATGGAACATCTTGATTAGTTGAAAGACTACAGTACCTTTTTAACTAGGCAAGTCGAATTAACAGAGACAAGGCAACCTGAGTTGCATTGAAAGCCCAACAAAAAAATGAGGTTTCAGTTACTTAAAAGAAATGGTGGTTTGAAATTGTAGTGTGATATGGAAGGCTTTCTGAGAGGCTGTATTCTAAACGGTTAGCTTTAACAACGAGCTATAATCTAAAGAACTGTAAAATAAGCAAGGAAGTACAAGCCCTTGAGAAAAATGTATGACATACCTTTTAGTACTGATTTTTGTGTGTGAGTTTTGAAGTTTCCAACTACATGGCAGCAGTTTGTATGCAGCTGCCAGAAAACAAGTGTTTGCAGAGCCAAATCATTATTCTCAGCCCCTGAGAAACCTTGGGCTGGATTGGACAATACTTCTCCCATATTTTGTCTGCCCTGCCCCGATTCCTGGATGCCTGTTTGAATACTGCCTCTACGTGAATGCCTGTTTTGTGCAGTTAAATTTTCCAGCCCTATGAACTTTGTTCAGTCTGGGCCTCCAAATGACAATCTTACATGTGCATTCTCCCATTTTTTAATATTGTGCTGCCATTGTGCCCCCATCCCATCGTGGACATCCTGGGGACATTGGAGATGGGGCATGGGAAGAACAGGTGTACTCTTGCTCCCCTCCATATAGCTAGAGAGATATGGTTGTGCTTTTGTTGGAGGCAGATGTTGGGTCTCTTCTGTGCCATTCTTGGGAACATGGGAAGCTACCTTATGCTGAGGCAAGATAGCCTGCAAAAGAGAACCATAAAACAAATATAAAGCAGATCAAAAACATCAGAAAAAAGCAATTATCGTAGCAACTGTAAAAATACAAAAAAGCAGTAGATATCAAATCAGTTCTTCATTTCCTGAGCTCCAGCTTCTTCTCTTGAGTGGCAGCAGGAGGGAGTGCCTTGAGGGAATCTTCCTACTTGAAAAGTTACTGGTGGGCCTGCTGCTGTAGTTCAGCTGAGATGCAGGCGGTGCTGTGGTCTAAACCACTGAGCCTCTTGGACTTGCTGATCAGAAGGTCGGCGGTTTGAATCCCCGCAACAGGGTGAGCTCCTGTTGCTCTGTCCCAGCTCCTGCCAACCTAGCAGTTTGAAAGCACGTTAGAGTGCAAGTAGATAAATAGGTACTGCTCCGGCGGGAAGGTAAATGGCATTTCCATGCGCTCTGGCACTCGTAACTGTGTCCCTTTGCACCAGAAGCAGTTTAGTCATTCTGGACACATGACCCGGAAAGCTGTGGACAAATGCCGGCTCCCTCGGCCTGAAAGCGAGATGAGCATTGCAACCCCATAGTTACCTTTGAGTGGACTTAACCATCCAGGGGTCCTTTACCTTTTTTACCTTTTAGTTCAGTTGGCAGTTAGTGCATAGATCAATCGGGCCTGGAACGCTAATGTACTACAGGGTATTTGGTGAGGTGGAGGAGAACTGAATATTCATGAACAGAGCAAAAGAATCTGTTGTGGCTTACCATCGTTGTAGCCTTTTACTTACCAGCAGTGTCTTAAGCCACTTCTCCCAGCACTTTCATAAACATAATGACTGCAAAGGAAAAACTTGACGAAATCATCTATTATTCTTGCCAGTGTGACTTCAGGGTCACAAGTTACTATCATGCCTTTCAGAGGGAAATGGAAGACTGCCTAAATGTTTGCATTTTGTATTATGTTTGCACTTTCTGTAGGGTGAGCTAGGGTTTTTATCTCCCACTACCGCCCTCAAACGCAGTCACTTCCTATGTCATGGGGAACCCTCAATGCTCTTCTTCATCTGAAGCTTTTCTTTATTTTATCATTGAATAAAAAAACCATTTCAAAAATATTTTTCAGCAACGATGGGTCGGAGTTCGGTGGCTCAATTTACCAAAAAGTCAGCGACAACCTTGAGACTGCTGTAAACCTTAACTGGGCAGCGGGCAGCAATAGCACTCGTTTTGGAATTGCAGCAAAGTACCTGTTGGATCCTACCGCTTCTATTTCCGTAAGTAGAACTATAGAAGAAAATGCCATAGCTATCTTGGTCCACAAAACTATACATAGGAAACTTCTATATCCCTTACCATGAGAAGTCCCCCTCCCCATCATAGCTTGAATGAGCATGTCCCAACTGGCCTTTGTTCATGCCTGAGTTTACCTTTGTGAGCTGCCTAACTCCAACTTTGGCATGGACAACTTTTCTTAATGGCTTTGTAGTCTGAATGAAACAGTGTTGGCTCTCAGTAGCACCCTTTTCTCCAAGTGAGAACTAGCCCGGCAAAGTGGTTAAGAACATAACCAAAGCTGCCTTGTGCAAGGACAGATAATTTGTATACCTCAGTATCATCCACATTGATGGGTAGCATCTATTTGGAGTTTCTGAGGGGGCAGGGTCATTCCCACCCCTGTTTCGTAAGTTTACATAGATGAATTGCTTTGTGTGTAGCAGAAAATGCTGTGTACAGTCGTACCTCGGCTCCTGAACGCCTTGGGAGTCGAATGTTCTGGCTCCCGAACGATCGAAAACCAGAAATGAATGTTATAGTTTTCGAACGTTCTTTTGGACTCCCAACATCCAACGGAGCTTCCGTAGCTTCTGACTGGCTGCAGGAGCTTCCTGCAGCCAATCAGAAGCTGCGCTTTGGAAGTCGAATGTTTCAGAAGTCGAACGGACTTCCAGAATGGATTCTGTTCGACTTCCAAGGTATGACTGTATTTTCTAAGAATTCTGGTAAGGTTCACTCATGAATGGAAATGAGGTCTAATTACATAGCAGGGACTTGATTGCATTGGGGCAAGGTTTCCCACAGCTGTGCTTTGAGCTGTAAATTTAACTCTAGGTGTGCCATTATCTTTTACCCCCATCAGTAAAATGAGGAATAAACGACCTGAAGGACATGGTTGTAAAGTTAAGATAAAACAGTATAAACCATCCTACTGCATGTTTAAAGTTCTTTACAGATATTTGATGGAGATTATAACAGTCCAATATTGTAGTGAATAGCACTGCTTCTGGGGCTTTTGCCTGGTATGGTGGTAATGGGTTCCTTTGACCTGTGGCCTCATTCTTTGCTAAGACTCACGTACACAGATGGCAGTATATAAATACTAGCCCATCTCTTATTTTCATTGTGCATGACAAGATAGGAAGCTGTGTCATAGTAGAAACAGGCTTTAAAGCAAGGGGAAGGGAAGAAAACCCAAGTTGCATAGATCTCCTGGTTGGAGCAGTCCTGAGTACTAATGATTATCTTCTGCCTACAAATTCTGGGAGTCCTTGTTAGCCAACAAAAAATGTATGGTTGTCAGGACATTCTCCTGCTCCCGTGCGTCATGTCCCTGGTCTCGTGATAACATCACTGGAATGCAGGAGAAGGTCAGGGACAAGCAGAAGTGTGACTCTGTCACCCAGCTCTGAGCTAGAGAAGGGCTGCAGAAGCATGCTGCCTCTCTTCCTCTGTACCTGCTGGACAGCAGAAGTTTTAACCACTTGGCAGAAACAGAGACGATGCAACATGACTTCTTCATTCTCCTCTGGTGAGGGGCAGCAGGGGTGTGTCTCTGCCGTGATTGGGCCGTTGCAACTCCAGCAGCCCAGTTGTGTACAAAGACAAGTCTCTGTGCTCTTGTGTTCTCACTCCAGCTTGGTGCCAGAGTGGGGAAGCGGAGTTGCATTCATCATTATTTGCACATGGGAACTTCATTGCTAAAGCCAATTTGCGAGCTTCTGGGGCCTGTACTCATCCTGCCCACCTCACTCATCCTTGAGGAGGAAGCCCTGGGTTTGGTGTTGCCATGGCAAGGGGATGAGAGAGAGATTATTTGAAGCCTGGTCATCATGAGTTGAAAAAGCAGTTGAAGAAAGCTTATGCTAGATTACACTTCGGTTGTGGGTGCTGCCTTCTTGCTCTAGTTGGGCACTACATTCTTTGGAGCAGGGCAAAGGGATGTTAAAATTAGGGCACAACATATTGTGACACACAAAGGATTGATAAAAATGTCATCTTGCTTCTCGTTGTTTTGCAGGCAAAAGTGAACAACTCTAGTCTAGTTGGAGTTGGGTACACCCAGACCCTGAGGCCAGGTAAATAATTTTGATAAGAATGTGAGAAATATTGAAGGTTTTGATTAATACTCAGATTAACGGTGGCTGGAGTCTGTTGTTAACATGCTCTTGGAAGTTGGCAGTTCTCCATTCAAGGTTCGAAAGAGACTTGATATATAACAAAGAGAAAACACTGTCCAAAATGTATAAAATCTTATTAGAATGGTCAGTGAAGGACGAGGGGGTAAAATCAGCCATGGTAAAATGGGCAAGAGATCTAGGTCATAACATACAACTCTCAGAATGGCAAAAATTAAGTTCAGAGCATGTTATTCTATTAAAGAAAACTACAGGAAGACTTTCTGTCGCTAGTATTTAACACCGAGGAAATTAGCGATAATGTACAAAAATAATTCAGACCGATGTTGGAAATGTAAGGAGGTGGTGGGATCAATGTATCATGTCTGGTGGACTAGTAAAAGAATGAGGGAATTTTGGGATTCAGTCTATAACGAGTTGAAAAAGATGTTCAAAAATTCATTTCCCAAAAAACCTGAGGCATTTCTTTTAGGGATTATTGGGAAGGAGATTCCTAGAAATTTAAAGAAATTACAGTGGTACCTCGGGTTACATACAGTTCAGGTTACAGACTTTGCTAACCCAGAAATAGTGCTTCAGGTTAAGAACTTTGCTTCAGGATGAGAACGGAAATCGTGCTGCAGCGGCACGGCAGCAGCAGGAGGCCCATTAGCTAAAGTGGTGCTTCAGGTTAAGAACAGTTTCAGGTTAAGTACGGACCTCCGGAACGAATTAAGTACTTAACCCGAGGTGCCACTGTATTTATGTATGCCACCATGGCAGTGAGAGTTTTGATTGCACAGAATTGGAAAAGTGAGACGATACCATCAAAAAAAGCATGGCTGATTAAACTATTGGAATACGCTGAGATGGATAAACTGACAGAACACATAAGGGATCAAGTGAAACAAAAATTTAGTAAAGATTGGAATATATTTAAACAATACCTGAAAGACCACTGCGGAGAATTAAATTTTTTGACTGGTTTACATTAACTCTTGTAATGAGAAACATCAAAAAGTAGCGAAAAATTGGTTACCAATAAACTAGATTTATTATGAAACGCATTCAACCAAGAACTCTAAAGGACCCAAGTAAGAAGGGGAGGGAAGTCAGAAGTAATTAGACTATTAATGTGTTGAATGAGTAAGAATATATCTTTGTTTTTCTTTATTATGATTTAGAAACACATGCACATTAACAAGAAACTGAAACTTTATACAGTACTGTGATTTTACGTTAAGAAAGCATTTCTATTAAAAACAATAAAGATGAATTGCAAAAAAAAAGTTGACAGTTCTCAGAGTAGCAGAACTTGCCTCTTCAAAAAGGACTTACTTGCATTCAGTATGAAAGTTTGAAACATTCCTTTTTAAGTGTCTCTGCAACTTAACTGGTACGTAGGCACCTTTGTGTGAAGCTTGATGCTTCTAATCCCACTGGCTTCGGCATCCATGTGTGTTTCAATATAATTTACTACCTTTGAGCATTGAAAAATGTTAGCAGCAACTGGTGTGTTCAGTGGACCTTGCCTTCTCTAAAACCCTTTGGTTATATTGATCTGCAGGTGTGAAGCTCACTCTGTCTGCCCTAATCGATGGGAAGAACATCAATGCTGGTGGACACAAACTTGGTCTTGGCCTAGAATTGGAGGCTTAAGAGGTGTGAAGAAAGCTGCCGCAGGAAATGGGATATCAGAAGAATATCGCCTTAAAAATGTATTTCCAGTGTGACCCGGGGGAGCTTTTTTTCCTACTCAGACGGATGGCCTAGAACAAGAGCTGTATTCAGAGTATTTAGGCAGTTACTTGTTAGCTGGTTTTTAGTTAAATTGGTTACCTATCTAGTTCTCAATTCTGCATTAGTGCAGTCACTACATAATACATTATTTAAATGTATTTAACTGTTGAATGCGCTACCCACAAATAATGAAATAGACTTTATGAAAACCTGTACACATGTGTGCATGTTATGTTTCTTTTAACACGTGATAATAGCCATTGAAATAACAGAATGGATCAGTGGATGTTCTGAAAAGTAAGGTCAACGGTTTTGTTAAAATCACCTTAACTAGAAATACTTTTGGTATCCCAAGGCAATTCGAAAATTATGAATAAAACAAATACACACACATACTTGTGCCTCCAGATATGTTGAAGTTATTGATAGGGAGGGCTGAGGTCAGCCTTAATTTTGCTTTGAAAAAGCTGCCTGTTTTTCCAGGTGCCCTTGCTGCTCAGCATCCTGGAGCATTTGCTATGAATCCAGTTTGCCAAAGCTGTTAAATGTCCAATCTGGGGATTTCTTGAGTTTGGCCATGGCTTTGAGTGGAGTACTACTCTTGGGGCAGTCGTTTAGTGCTGCCACAGAGCCTAGGACTTGCCAATCTGAAGGTCAGTGGTTCAAATCCCCGTGATGGGGTGAGCTCCTGTTGCTCGGTCCCTGCTCCTGCCAACCTAACAGTTCGAAAGCACGTCAAGGAAAAAGGTACCACTCCAGCGGGAAGGTAAACGGCGTTTCCGTGTGCTGCTCTGGTTCGTCAGAAGCGGCTTCGTCATCCTGGCCGCATGACCCGGAAGCTGTACGCCAGCTCCCTCGTCCAATAAAGCGAGATGAGCGCCGCAACCCCGGAGTCGGCTACGACTGGACCTAATGGTCAGGGGTCCCTTTACCTTTAAGGAATCATAGAATTGTAGAGTTGGAAGGGACCTCGAGGGTCACCCAAGCTGCTGAAATGCATGAATCATGCCCTCAGCTGTCCGTGGGTGGGCTCGAACCACCAACCTTCTGGTTAGCAGCCAGATGCATGGACCTGCTGAACCAACCCGAGGGCCGCTTCTCTTCTTGCCTCTTAACAAAATATGGCAGCAATATGAAATAGAAGCGGCTTTGGGAGGAAGAGGTACAGAGATTGCCCCCTCGCTTGCCTTCCTTAGGTGCTGTGCCCCTCAACATGGAGAGTGGAAGAGTGGAGATGTATTAGCTCTGTCCCTGCCCCCCTCTACATGTTGGAGGGCAAATGTCTGCCGTGGGGAGTCTGCTCTACTTGCATAGGCTCCCCACAAAATTTAGAAACCCCGAGACAATGAAGGTGGCAGAGCTAGCGTGCTTGCCTGCACCCTGCCTCATACAGTCCTAATTACATGAGGGAAAGAAATGCCTGAATAGTGTTTCATAGCTGCATTGGGTACATAGATTTATTTCGACACATTGTAGAATGCGCCCATCCTTTGTTCATGCGTAAAACTGTTCTTGCTGCCTGTTGGCTTGGGGAGCTATTGGTTGCAGTGTCTGGATTTTTTTAAAGTGCCTCCATCAATTGCTTTCTCCCAGATGTTGAGAATAGCCTGCTACACATCGCAGCCCTGTATTACCTCCAAATGGTGGACCTACAAGAGGTAGTAAAAGGTCTGTTCCTCTGCGCTTTTTAAAAAATTACGGTTATTTATTAAATTTGTGTACTGCTCTTCATCTGTAGATCTCAGGGCGGTTCACAACGTAAAAATAAGAGGTAAAAAAACAAAATACAACAAGAAAAACAAACCAATAGCCCCCCTCCCTCCCACAAACACATTTAAAAGGATATTGGATGTTAACCAGGCAAAGGCCTGGTTGAAGAGAAACGTATTTGCCTAGTGCCTAAAGGCGTATAATAAAGCGCCAGCCAAACCTCCCTGGGGAAAGCATTCCACAGATGGAGCCACTGCAGAACAGGCCCATTCTCATGTTGTCACCTTCCAGACCTGGAGGGGCAATGGATGCCCCCTTCCGGATTTAGATCATTGGGATTATTGAAAAGGGGCAAATGGGGCTTGTCAACCTGGGAAGGCAGTCCACCTGGGAGAAGGAGCACTCTGATCCTAAAGCTCCACTGCCTTGCAGATACCGTCGGAAGAAGAAAAGGATAAGGAGTTAAGCCCTACACAGATCTGGAGTGGAGTCCCTAAGGTGGTTGGATGCTTCCTTGTCCGCCTCCCGGCAACTCCTGCAACCCAGCTGCCAAACTTACTGCTCCGCTTTCCTTTGGACCATGTCAGCAAGGCTGAGGGGGTGGGTCTTGTGGTCTGGGCGGCCCAGGACCTCCATAGGCACTGACTGCCAAGGCTTGTGCCCCGGAGAGGTCACTTCATTGATTTGACTTCACCCCCGGAGGTTCACTCCATTGTTTCTTGAGACAGTTGGATGCAAAGCAATCATTAAAAAAGCCCCAATCTTGCTCAACAGGACATTAAAGGTAAAGGGATCCCTGACCATTAGGTCCAGTCGTGGCTGACTCTGGGGTTGCGGAGCTCATCTTGCTTTATTGGCCGAGGGAGCTGGCGTACAGCTTCCGGGTCATGTGGCCAGCATGACTAAACCGCTTCTGGCAAACCAGAGCAGCACACAGAAACACCATTTACCTTCGCACCGGAGTGGTACCTATTTATCTACTTCCACTGGTGTGCTTTTGAACTGCTAGGTTGGCAGGAGCAGGGACCCAGCAATGGGAGCTCACCCCATCACGGGGATTCGAACCGCCGACCTTCCGATTGGCAAGCCCTAGGCTCTGGTTTAACCCACAGCACCACCCGTGTCCTTAGCAGGACATTGGAGACTTGCTAATATTGAAATATGTGGGATCTAGAAAAGGTTTTCTACAGGACTGGACTCGCCTAGCCTTCAAGATTACAGGGACTGTTCTTTCCATCCAGGAAGCATTTACTGTCTCCTTTACCCAACAGTTGAGCCCCCTTTGTTCTGGTGGCTCTATTTAGCTCAGCAAGGCAAGGCTCGAGTGTGCAAATGATATGCAGACTTCGGGTCTTCCAAGTAACTTACCGATGTCCTTGGGCTGCCATAACCCCAAGCAAATGTGGCAATGAAGAGATTGCAAGGACATTCAGAGCACAGCAAGTAATGTGACACCCAAGTTAAAGCTAAAATACGAGTGAGATTATCTGCAAAGCGATTCGCAAACGGGTCACAAAGGTTTAGCAAGTGCTCCTCATGTGTAAATTAAAGTCTGTAGAGATGGACAGAGAAATTGATTTAGAACATCCTGGAGTCAAGTGCTTGGGAAGTTCATTTTAGAAAGGAATTAGTTGCAGTTCACATTCACCCCCTCCAGAAGAGAACTAACTCTTTCCAGTTCGATTCGCAGCTCATTATGTAATTGATTCACGTGGTCCTTGGCTTCTGCTCCCCTCCAGCCTTCAGAATTTTACAAGCTGCTCTGCTGGAGTATAAAATAGACATAAGAAACCATCAAAACACACAGTGTAATGTGAACAACGGTTTCATTTATTTCCCCCAGCAATTAGGATCCTCAAACTTAACACAGCAGCATTACTTTTTAGTGGCCACAAACCCAGAATTAAGTGTGACGAAGCTCCTATACATATACAAATGATTGAAATGCAATTAAATTGAATTAAAATTGCCCCAAGCCCCACTGCAAAAGGAACTTCATTTGCTTTTCAGTTCCCCTCAAAATTATAAGGAATGGCTTTCAGGTGCCATTCAGTAATTTTTGAATCTGTTTATAGTGAATTAATTAGTCTGATTTAGTTCATGCCAAGCACTGATCAGAGCTATAACCGAGTGGCTGAAAAAACAAGGAAAATAATGTTGGGGTAATTTGGGAGAAAGGTTTAAGCAACTTTCCGTCTCCAGAGTTTCATGCAAATTGCCTTGAATGGGAGACAGGGCATGCGAACTTTGACCTCTCTGGAGTTAGGAAGTGTGTGCACATGGGATGCAACTTGCATATTGCCAAAATAAGGGGAAACAGCCACCAAAAAAAGAGGATTCAGATTCACATATAGTCTTCAAAGGTTACCATACATATATGTGTGCAAATATCTAGACTTGATTGTTATAATTTAAATAGAAATACAATATGGAAAAGCTGTTCTGGTAATCCGTCTGCCTCCTCAGTTCTGCTGCCCAGATACAAACTGTGGATGGGCAACTTCAAACCACCAGCAACACTCCTCTTTTTTTTTGGGGGGGGGAGGTTCTTAATCTTTTAATTGGACTTGGACAGGACAGCCCTTCAGATCAGGTCTGGCCCGTCCGTGAGGCAGACGCCTTGGGTGGCGGAATCCCTGGGATGGCTCTCCATCCCTCCTTCCAGAAAAGAGAGGCTTGTTGTCTGTCAAGTAGGGTAAAAGATAAAGGCAAAGTCCAGTCAAAGGCGAATATGGGGTACAGCGCTCATCTCGCATTCGGGCCGAGGGAGCCAGAGTTTGTCTACAGACAGCTTTCCAGGTCATGTGGCCAGCATAACTAAACCGCTTCTGCTGCAATGGGAAACTGACGGAAACCAGAGTGCACAGAAACGCCATTTACATTCCCGCCGCAGCAGTAACTACTTGCACTGGCATGCTTTCGAACTGCTAGGTTGGCAGGAGCTGGGACAGAGCAACAGGAGCTCACCCCGTTGTGGGGATTCGAACCGCTGACCTTTAAATCGGCAAGCCCAGGAGGCTCAGTGGTTTAGACCACAGTGCCACCCACGTTCCATGCTGTCAAGTAGGATACATAGCCAGCAGATGAAAGAGACACCTTCAAGATGTTTCTCTGTGAGAGAGAGAGTCAGAGCCTTCTCCCATTTCTAAACTCTACCATCTCAGCCCCGCAAGCTACTGGCGACTCTTCTTCAGCAGGCAAAACGTTCCCTGCACATAGGGTTGCCATATTTCAAAAAAGTAAAATTCCTGACACCCACATAAACTTTCTTTCTGGGGAACAACCCCAAACTGTTGAGCATTTTTGGGGAAACCTCCACACCCCAAATAGTGTTTTTGAGCTGTTTCCACACTGCTTTTTCCATTGCGTTGCCTGCTGAAGAAGAGTCACCAGCAGCTTGCGGGGCTGAGATGGTAGAGTTTAGAAACTGGAGAAGGCCAGTCTGATGTGGAGCAATTGCACCATCTGCTGGCAATCCAGAGCAAAAACCAAACCAAACCAAACTACAGAGGAGAGATTTATGGAATGCTACTTACTGGAGCCTAAACCCTAACCGCTGGTGGTCTGGCTAAATCTATAACTAAATCTATATCTATATAACTATATAGCTGCAGAGTTCTCCAAGTGTCCCTATTTCCAAGGACGTTCCTGATTTAGAGAAGCTGTTCCGGTTTCTGATTTGATC